TGGTGGTGACGTGGCTTTCTAAAACCCCCTTTGTGTTTTCGTTTCAGAGAAGGTACATGCTCTATGCAAGTTCTAGTATTAGACAGAAACAGAAAGGTTTTTGTCGTTAAAAAAAAATTATTAACAAGACATGTTTTTTGCATTGACAAACATGGTGATGGGTGAGAGAAACCTCACTCATTCACACATTAAACGAAGTTAATCATCCACCATTAAATTTTTTGATTCTTGCATTAAATTTGATGATAATTAATTAAAGTTAAACCCTGCACCAAGTTCTTTATTCTTCTATTTTTTTTGAAGAGCTTGATTAGATCCATTGTTAGGGTAAAAAAAAAAAAATCCAAACATTAGTCAAAGAGTAATATTCTAAAGACTTAATTTAGGATATAATCAGAGGCATGTAAGTAAGGCGGTTAATTGAGTCAAATTTTGCGAGTTTGAACCCGACCTTATCGAGCTCGTTATTTTAAATGAGTCTAAAAAATTATTCAAGTTCAACTTGATTAGAACATGAGTCGAGCCCCATTTTGAGTAGTTCAAGTCGAACTTTTTACACTTATTTCAAAAATTATTTAAGTCCACTTCATTTAAAATATGAGTCAAATTCGAGCTGACTCTAAATTGAATTCGGGTAATTCCGCATGATGAAAAACCCTACGTTTAAGTTGTAAAAACAAGGATACATGACTCGTTTGGTTGTCATATTAAAAATGGATGGATTAGATATAATAATATAAAATAATACAATACGGAAAAACAAAAGACAAGATTAAATAGAGTATTAGTATAATACGTAATTTTATCAAGTGTTTGATAATATACAATATAAGTGTTGGATAGTAGTTATTTAATCAAAGCGGTTGTTTGGTTAGAGAATTATTTTATTTTATTAACGTTGAATTAACAAAAATATCTTCAATCAGTGTTTGTTACATTAATGACAACTTGATTTTATCAGTTAAAAGGGTTATAATAGTAAATGTGTAGAATAATACGTTTCAGTTGAATTATAATACCACATCTTTTAGTAGTATTAAAAAATCTCCAAAATACAGAGTTATCGTATAAAAAATATACGATAAATATACAATTAATATACGTTTATAAAATTAATACAATATTAAATTTATTTATTAAACAAAGTATTAAATTCGATTAAATAAAAAATAGTGTAATATAATATTTAATTTCTTTACCGTACGCCTACCAAACCAAACGAATCCGTAGAGTAATAAACAGTGTTTGTCATTCGGGGGTCTCTTTAAATCATTGGACGGGTCCTTTTTTATGACAGTAACTGGATATGATAGACAGTAACCGTCCACTTTTCAGATTAGACCAGTGAGCCTCTTCAGGCGGGACCATGAGAAATTTTAGCCAATTTCTGTCCGTTAGATTCAATGTTGAAGTCCCACGTGGCAGCTTCGAAGGTCCCCTACATTCGTATCACGTATCATGCCTTTCTATCCTTCAATTTCAGCTACCCCCACCAGAGAGGACTTTGCGAAGGAAACTGGGAAAAAAGAATAGAGAAAATCAAACGTGGCTGCAAGAAATTCAAGTCCTCTATACATGGTGGTGTCCAGTTGTATTCTACAGGCTATACATTGGATACAACCCCTCCAACTTTCAACAACATTAAAATGGTACGAAACACACCGTTATCTTTGCCAAAAATAATGACTGAATGAACCCAAAAGACGAGTACACCCCAAAAAAATTGATAAATTTTACTCAAAATATTATATAAATACATTAAAAAATGAGAAGTGAACAAGGTGGTTTATTTCCATCTTCATATGGGTAATTAGGGATGACACTAGATCGGGTAAAAATAGACATTCGTCCAAACTCATTCTATTTAGATCGGAAATAGATCATACGTATTAAACGATAGATGTATACGGTATACCCGTATAAATCCGTATGAGAATAAAGACAGGAATGAACTGACACTTACCCCCGCCCCATCCTTCTCCGTCTCGTTTTACTCGTTATTATTATTATTATATATATATATACACATGTTGCTTCGAATATAACTTGAATGATTTTTTCTTTTGAGAATTATTTTATTTTTTAATTTTTTTTTTCATGATTTTTGATGATGCACAAAAATGGTTTTGCACACCACCTGTCAAGTGTAGATAATAAATACAATGAAAAAATTAAAGAAGATACAATTTATAGTGGTTCGGTCAATTCGACCTACGTCCACTCTTCAATGGTTTCAGTTGCTGGGTATTTTATTGATTCAAAGGTATGGAGAATAGAGATACAAGTTTTGAGAGAGAGAATGGAGAATCAAAGAAATAGTAATCTCCGGTAGTCGGTTCGTCCTCTGTAAGTCTCTGGTGGGGCGTGACATTCCTCTCATTCTTCTACCAGGTTGGAGCTATTTTATAGCAGCTAAGAGATCATTCTTGTGGAGATCATGACATATCCTCAAGGCTTCTTTATCGCAGCTAAAAGATTATTCTTGGTGGAGATCACGACTTATCCTCAAGGCTTCTTTATCGCAGCTAAGAGATTATTCTTGGTGGAGATCACGACTTATTCTCAACGGAAGAAGGAGGTTGGGGAGCTCTTCATGAAACGTGGTCAAAGATTGGACCGTTTTCTTCGGTGGTGCAGATAAGCTTCCCGTGCTCTCCTCTTGATGACGTGCTAAGCAAAAAATCTAACCGGTGTTGCACTTGGTGGATTTGGACCGTTTCCTTTGGTGGTGCAGATAAGCTTCCTATGCTTTCCTCTTGGTGACGTGCTAAGCAAAAAGTCTAACCGGTCTTGCACTGTCTTGGATTTGGTGGAATCAAAATTAGGTTGGGCTCCTCAACTGGGGTTGGATTTTAATACATAAATTGGACTATTTGGGTTTAACCCATCAATTTTAGCTTGTAAAAGTGTAGATTTTTGTGTTTTTATATTTTTTTTATGTTGAATTATGATATTGTGTTGGATTTACAAGGTAGACAAACTTTTAATTATGTTATGATATTTTATAATTATGTTGGATTATTTAGAATGTTAGATTTATTTATAATTTTGGATTATGTTGGTTTGAACTTGGGTGGGTAAGGTGGACGGGGTAGGGGCGGATGACTGAGCAGGGGCGAGGATTACAAATTTACCCGCGGATGAGAATTAAAATGAACTATACCCGTTAACGAGGGTGAACCGAGAATGAGCGGAGTTTTTTTAAGTGCGTACAAAGATGGGGACTACACTCTCCGCCCCCGCTTCGGTCTACTGTCATCCCTATGGATAATGGTGGACGCATACTCTTTATCTATATTTATACTACTAAAAAAATATCTTAATATGATTCACTATTTTGTTCTTATAAAGAACTATAAAGGTTAATATGCTTTTTTGTATTTAAATATATAAATTATCATTATATCTTTTTATATTTAAATAAAAAGCTAATATCTAGTATATCATATAAATCTCTTTATCTTTACAAAATTTTTGAATGATCATGTTATGTTTAACATGATATATAAAAACAATATTATTCTTTTTTTTTTCTATTAAAAACTCAACATTAATACACGTTGACAAATAACTCTATTGATACAATCTCATCTCTAATGCCAAAAAAATGTATATATTTATCTTATCTCTTCATTCACAATCAAAATAATTTAGTGAAAAATTATTGATGCACAAAGTAAAAAAAAAAAGACAAAATAAAAAAAATCTATAAATTTTACAACTTAGTAACTAGAATGAAAGAATCATAAAAAATAAATACATTAGATGTTTATAATTATAAAGAGAATACAAACAATGATAAATGTTAGATAATATTTAATGTAAGTACGTAATTAAATTTTTTTATAATATTAAATATTTTAACAAAAAAAATTTATATGTAACATACATCGTACATTATTAAAACGGAAAAAATTGAAAACACTTAGATTAATTTTCGAATGTTATCACCCGCCTAGAACCTACGAGGTGACGGCCGATGAATTGAAAACAGTGAAGGAGGAAGACGGAGTTGCTTTGGTTTCAAGAGTTGCGGCTCTCAGTGCTTCAGTCTAGGAACTAGAAGCCTAACCGTATTTATACGTGGAACCTCCTTAACACCTCTCTCTCACTTGCTTGGGACCACTTTGGTGGCTTCATTAAAATAAAGCAGGCGGACCACAAAGATTCCCGCCGCCACACTCCTCCTCCTCTTTTTCTTCTTCTCTCTTCCCACACCCTTCTCTCTCTATCTCTATCCCCCTATATCTATATCTTCCATTCCATCACGTTTTCATTCACCTATAGTACTCGTGTCAACTCAACTTTCATTAATTTTTCATAAAAACTAATCTGTGAATCTATTTTAATCAGAATTCTCATGAAAGAATGAAAAATCTACATCTGCATGCCCCACTTTGCTTAGTTCAATTCAGAATTCTCATGAAAGAATGAAAAATTTACAGCTACATAACCACTTTGCTTAGTTCAGTTTCGTACGATAGTAAACAGCTAACAAGATGAAATTTAATCATGTGGGGTGGCCACTGACACCACATGATCAGGATCATAGTACTGAAAAATCATTGTTGTGAATCCTTAGTCTAGAACTGGGACAGGGTTTAATCCGGTGCAGACCCCATAGACTAGGTTGCAAAAATTCCTTGTCTTGAAAGAAGATTAAAATAAGAAGGAATGAAGACATCGTACTATTATAAGTAAAAAGATAGTGGAACCAATAATGCACATCGACCAACAATATTTTTAATATCACTTATAAACAAACTTTAAAAGGTACAATAAATAGTTGGATTCTAATCAGAGCATTCCATCTCAATTGATCATTCTTGATTGTGTCACATATATATATATATATATATATATATATAGAGAGAGAGAGAGAGAGAGAGAGAGAGAACTGTTAATCATAGATAAAATACTTCAACAAAAAAGTAACCAAAAGTCAATTTCAATGAAGCAGATTTGAAAAAACTTCTCCACAAATTTTGTTACCCCCCACCAAAAAAAAAAACAAAACATAAAATAAAAAAACAAACATATGAATCCACAATTTGCACCTATCCTTCTCCACAAATTCTATTTTGTATACTAAATTAATCTTAATTTCTCCCAATGATCTCTCTACATTTGATATTTTCCCCTTCATTTGTGTTTATTTTTCAGACATTAATTGTTGTTGAGTTGCTGCTGCAAGAACAAAACGTCCTCAACATTCCACAGGTTGTCCAATAGATCCCCACCGTCCATCCACTGGTTGTTTGGCTCCATAGCTTGGAAGTCCAATCCAGGGTTAAAGTAACCAGTTGGACTAGTTAAAGTGTCTCCGTAGATGAGCTGATTAGTCGGGAAATACTCCTGATTATTGCTTTGAGTAACTGGATAATTGTAACAATCAGTCAGGTCTGAAACCGGCGAAACTTGTGTCCCAAATGAGTCCGATGAGGCTGCCGTGCTAGAATTCTCCGGCGTGAAGCCAGAGTTTACGGGGACACTTCCCAAGCTACCACCGATATTGGGATGTGACAATATTACTTGGCCTGAACCAATATCCATGTTGTTGTTGAAATTGTTATCGGTAAAATACTGATGGGTATTGGTGGTGGTGGTGGTGGAATTGGTGGTAGCAGTGGTGGTGGTTGTGGTGGAGGAGGAAACTCCGTTGGCCGTGGCAGCTGCCTGAATTCTTTCTACCAACCTTGGCATCCAAAGATAACGCATGGTGTCCTTAAATTGTTTGCTGTTCACGTCACATTTGAGCTGTTTGGCATGCTTTTGGACTCGTGTTCTCCAGTAGTTCTTGATCTCATTATCTGTTCTTCCAGGCAAGTGTTGAGCAATTTTCGACCACCTATATTTTTTTTTCCATAATATTAGGTTAGATTAAGAAACCGTATTATGATCTGTAAGGACACAAATGAAAAATTGGGCCGTGAGTTATATATATACCTATTGCCCCACCGGGAATGAAGTTCAAGAATGAGAAGTTGTTCTTCAAGGGTGATGTTTCCACGTCGAACATCGGGGCGTAGATAGTTCAGCCATCTTAATCTGCAGCTCTTTCCGGTTCGTTTAAGACCTGTTACATTTCGAATAGGGCGTTAGAGAATTGGAAAAATTTTGGTAAAGTTGGTGAACATTTATGAGAGAGAAAATATAGAATAAAGGGATCAATCAACAAATCTTTTTTACTTATGTGGATTCTTGCTATACTTTTTAGTTATCAAACTTTATGGATGAGTTCTTAATTTGCTTATTGAGACGGCCGAAAAAGGTTTTCAAGGCTGTAACTATAAGTGAACAAAACCAGTTTTTGTTAACAAAGGATATGATGCTTCAATTCATTCTCTTTATTGGATTTTTACAGCTGCTTTGTTCTGATTGGAGCTTTTTTATTGTGAGAGGAAATTAGACTTGTAGAATTGGCTATTTGTGTCGTGGAAAACCAATGAAGCAAACCCATTTTCAAAAAATTTGAGACAAAAACCCAGAAACATGAACAGAACTAGTTGATTCGCGTTGTCAACATGTATATTTGCGAAATTATAGAGGAATTGAAGTGGGTATTGTTCGACATGAATGAATGGATATTCATATTGGTGCGAGTATTTATTTACCTGCACAACGAGCGACAGAGTTCCAGCGACCTTCACCGTGATGAGCGACGTAGTTGATAAGGGTAAAGTCTTCTTCCACCGTCCATGGACCTCTCCTCAGGTCCGTCATCTCTTCTTCACTTTGCATGGAAGACTTGCAACCTCTTCCTTTAACACGATCCATTCCCGTATATGGACAGACTGATTGATTGATACAAAAAGGTTTTGATTGATTGTAGAGATTTTTGCTTTTGAGAGAGAGAGAGAGAGAGAGTTGGGATTAATACAAGAGGATAGAGGAGGTGGGAGGCTTTATATAGAATGATGGATAGGTTCGAAAATGGTGTTAAAGGTGGCCATGTGAGAGAAAGAAGCATAAGCGGCAATAGGAACTCGGTTTAATAAATAGTAGTTTAATTAGCACTTAAAACAGTGTTGTAGACCATAATTATCAAGGAGGCTTTGAAGTTTGACACTTTGACTTTTGGCCATCTCCGTGTGTTCGACTGAGATTAGCAGGTTCGGGGAGTAGATCCCCATAGTAGTTTAATTAGCACTTAAAACATTGTTTGACACTTTGACTTTTGGCACTTAAAACATCTATGTGTGTTCAACTGAGATTACGTTTTCAAATTAAGTTCAAATAATATTTTTTTTCGATGATCAACATATTTTAGGTTGTTTAAATAGAGATACTTTAAAACCAGGGAAAAAAAAAAGAAGTTAAAAGCTATTTCTCCTTCTTCTGATGAGTGTGGCCACCTTGCCTGTCCCAAGCATAGAGAGGGCCTCCTATATTGCCACTTAAAGTTAGGATGACTTATAGGCCTATGCTATTTCGTATCTAGTGAAATAACTTTGGCATTCATCGCACAAGGCCATGTAATAAATGAATTGAGTGCAGGAAAAGTTCAAGGGCAAAGGATACAAGAAATACTCAACGTAGCTAGTACTGGTCCACCTTTTGGTTTTAGCCTTAGATGGTGCTGTGTCTTTCCCCTATGTGACCCTCCTTGGGGTGCAGAACTTATTTATTTATTTATTTTTAATAACCTCAATGGTATGAGGACATAATTTTATTAATATGAAATAAAGTAAAATAAAATTACACCTAATCGGGGACATAATGAGCCTTACCCCTCAAGTGCATTCTATCCTATAGCATTTCCTTGGAGTGCAGAATAACTCGTTGGAGAGAGTAAGGCTTTCCTTTCTTCTCAGTCCCTTGTCACATTTCTTTTTTCTTTTTTTGTCTAGTTTGAGGATTGATTCTTTCTTTTCTTTTCGTTTCTTATTTTTTTCTCCGCAACTCGAAATCATAATGTTTATTTTTTCACAATATTCGAAATAAATATGTTAAAGAGTTCTAATGACGCCACGAACGAAATATCTACAATTATAGATGCTCAAGCTGCATGAGAGATTGAGGCCTTCTCACTCCATTGTTGATTAGGGTTTTTTTGGTTAGTATATTGCTGTGATAGTTAACAAAGGGTACATGAATGATGCTTTTAATTATTTGAGCAGCTTCTAATTAGCTTTCTTTTTTTTTTTAGTGCCTTTTGGGTAGGCTTCTAAATGGTTCAGTGCTTCTTGTTAGGGCGGCAATAACAATGCAGCCAAAGGCATACAAATTATATTTTTCCATGATGCCCATGTTTAGATCTATCAATTGTGTCATGTGTGGCGAATTCCTGTCGGGTCTTAGTATATTTCTATTAAAAAGTATTTCACTCATCATTTATTAATTCGTGTTTATTATATCAGTTTTGTTTCGTGTATGAATTGTTTATAACAGTAGATAAATAAGTCGTGTTGCATATTGTTTTTGATTAACTTCACTCATACCCGATTTGTTTATTAATCATATCATGTTGAATCTACTTATTTACGAAACGGGTGGCTTAAGAAATATTCTAACCTTCTAATTTCATGTCATGTTTATGTCGTATTAACAAGTCACTTATGCCGAAGGAAACTCTATGATGTCGGTCCAGCAACTTCTCATCTATGACGATTGAGTTTCTGTCAAAGATGTATTGAGAACCATCAGACCTCTCCAATATATTAAAGCTTAATGGGCCAGCAATGAACGCAATAGCTAACACAACATTTTTAACACAATTTCATATTCTTCTATTTATTAAAAATTACAATGTATCCTGATTGTACGACAAATAAAGTAAATAAAAATTGGAACTTGCCATGGCACGAGGATCACGTGTTTATGCCTATGAAATAGTTTTTCTCTATACAAATGCATGCACATGAGAGGGCTTCTATTGCTCAGTTTATACTTACATAGTACCATTTCTTCTTCTCTTAAAGTATGTGAGATCTTTGTGTTTTTCATTATACTCTGGTCACCTTTTGTTATTTAATTTCATAATGTGTTTCATGTGTCATATCAGATGCCATAACATCAAAGGCTTATTACATCTTGTAAAGAAAAATTAAAGGACGGAAATAACTTCTCCATACCATACGCGTACATTTGACTATTCCCAAAATTTTGTCGTAACAAACTATCATTGAAATTCAAGCTTAACTTGCTTTCATTTTTGCCTCCATCAGTTCTTAGTCTACCAAAAGGAAAGATTTCTAGACTAAGATTGTCTTCAATTTCAACCCTCAACATTGTATTGTACTCTCTAATTGAGCTTATATAGAAATTTGCCCCAATTCTGCAAAAAAGTGCAACTCCCTAAACCCATATATATTGTGCAAAACTATCTTGTTTAACCTAGACCCACATAAATTTTAAACCCTGGGTACAATAACCATTCCGAGTTCATACTAATAAAGTATTTCACACGCACTTCTCCAAGCGATGTGGGACAAAGCATATATCTAACCTCAACCTATCTTTGGTCTGGGATCACTATGTATATATATATAAATCCTATTCTGAAATTGTGCACATTAAAAGCCCAAGTTCTAAAGAAAAAAAGAGAGGCTCATGTAAATTTGCCAAAATCATCACAAACTGTAATTTGCTGCCTTCCCTTCTTCAAAAAAACATGTCCCATTATTGTTAACTGATACTGCCTCTCCTTTTTTTTAAATAGGTTCTTGTGAACTTCAAACTTAAGCTAATGATATTTCTTCAATTGCATGAGGGAGGTGCTTGTTATTAAAAAGAAAAAAAGGAATATTAAAAGGGCAGAATATACCATTATATGTGGTGTGAAAGGATGTTAATTGTATAAGTGCAGAGGAATTACAACTTTTTCTAGAGAGATTCTAGAAAGCAAATTTCTTACTCCCCGAAAGGAGACTGGAAGGGCAAAAGCAAAGCAAATACCAAGAGAACAAACTTTCTTTGCTTGACACGTGGTCCACTGCAAGAAATCCCTTTCTTCCCAGACTTAAACTCTATCAGATACGACCGGAGAAAATTTTGTATGATTTTAACACATCACTTGACAGTATTAAGCGGTGTGCACAACCAATGGAATAAATAATAGTTTTTCTTGGAAATGCACAACTTTTGATTTGTTATGTATACCACCCGACTGGTACTGAGAGTGAGAGTGAGAGGTGGTGTATTAAACCCACAAAAAAATTTCTCCTAAAACTGACTGACAGTTAAAACCTCCATTTCAATATATACTCACCTAAAAATTTGTTTTGTCTTCCTTTCAGTGGTAGAGTGATGAAAAAATTGGGACCCACTATTTGAAGTATTGTCATATATACCAACTCATCTTGACTGGATACTTACTCTTTTTTGACAAAGAAAGTATCTTGCAATGATAAGAAGGTAGGTGATGGAGTTGATTACAAACAACATGGCCTTCATGACTGCTTTGACACTGATCACAAAGTTTTTTTCTCCATTTCAATTCATCATTGGCATGAGAAAGATGATGCAGAGTAAGTTGTAGTAGATTTTTTACAACGGGACGATGACTGTAGTGTATTTCAAGTATAACAGAAAATAACAAAGTAAAAATAGAGATAACACAGACGACGAACTCAGAATGGAGTGGAGCCGTTGCCGTTTGATACCAGTGATCAATACTAGTTGCTTGCCAATGAGTTACACCAAATTTTGATCAAATTATTTCACCATTTTCGTTTTCAAATAAGAATTTTTTGTAGTTTTAGGAAAGATTTAGAGTATTCATTATTAATTTGGAAATTCCGATTTAAGGGTGTTCTTCTTTCCAAAATCAAACTTTCGTAGGCTCTAGATGACACATTATTAGAAAATGGGGGGAAAAAATACTAGCGGTGTGACTGGGCAAAGCCGCCCTAGCATGCTGAAAGGGGCATCCAGAAGGGTGAGATGATGTGGGTCTCTAATACCATTCTCTTTTGAAAAACTAAAAAAGTATATATAAACAAGCCCATAAACAAAAGGAAATAAGAGACAAAGTACAGTTTAAAATTATACTAAACCAAAACAAGTTCAAAGCAGATGAAATGTAAGACTCAAAGAATTCTACGTTGTTTATTTATTGTTTCACTTGTAGGAATACCATCTTATTTTTTTGTATCGCTTCGAGGAACCCCATTCAATTGTCAGAAGAATAATGTGAAGTTGGCCCGGGTATAAGAGAGCTCAAATAATAACAAGGATGAATTTTAAATTCAAACGTTTTAAATTCAAAATTTGACAAATCTTTAGTCCATGAAAGATATCTCTTGTTAATAGTGAACGTGCGTGTAAATTTAACGTTGTAAACAAAAAATGAAGTGAAGAAATTGAATTCTTGAGATGAGAGGGGCTCCACATCATCTTTCCTGTTATTTTGTCAAAAGCTAGTCCGGGTTTCAAGGGAATATGAGTTGAAGTTTCTGATGGACAGTGTACATAACTACATATCGATATACGGTAAGTCATTCTCTCGCTCTCACTATCACATTATTACAGGGCTTTAAGATATTTAAAGTAAAGATTATTCTCTTCTTGTCTTTGTGAAGCGTCTTTGACCCAAACTTATATATGCTGCCACCTTTTCTTTTTTCTTCTCACCATTTCTTTGACCCTCTATATTCTTACAGCATGCGTATTCCCATTTGTATACGTTAGGTATAGAAATTCTGGGTTGTTGGATTGATGTATATCCCATCTTAAAGAAAAAAACTATACTCTATACAGATTTATATGCTCGATCCTTTTTTATTTTTTTGTGGATTGTTACCAGAATGAAATCGAAACCAAGGAAGTTTATTAGGGTCTAGTCTTTGATGTATCTTCTTACTCTGGTGTTGATAAAATTACTGTTCTTTATTCAACTAGATGACCCGATTCAATC